GTAAAAAAAATTAAAAAATCTAATTTTGTCACAAATTCCATCCAAAATGCATTCTGCGACATGTCTCTGCTAAAAAAAAATCCCAATACGTGTAAATCAATTTGTTTACATGAAAGTTATAGCGTTTACAACTGGCGGGAAAGATACTGAGATTTTTTTATTTTTTTTATACTAATAATGGCGGCGATCAGCGACTTATGGCGGGACTGCGGCGTGCATTTTGACACTGGGGGGGAACTGACTTGGGGTCACTGACATCCCCTGTGACACCAATACAGTGATCAGTGAAAAAAAAACCCACTGACACTGTACTAATGGCACTGGGGAGGAAGGGGTTAACATTTTTAGTGTTAACTGTGTGAGGGGAGTGTTTTACTAGGGGGCGGGGGTGTGTGCTGGATGGGGACAGGCTGATCGAGAGAGAGAAACTCTTCTCTCCCTCTTCAGCTTGTCACGAGCTGACAGATAGCAGGGCTGTGTATAAACAATGCAGCCCTGCTCTCTGTCAGCGATCACCGCTAATCGTGGGTAAACGGCCGGTAATGACCGGCCGTGACCCGGTGGCGGAGACCTGCTGCTGACACTCGCGGGACAGGTAGGGCGCCCCCTACCTGTTTTGCAAAACCACATTTTAAAACGTGGTTTTGCGCAGCCGTGCCACCCTGCAAACGTACTAATGCAGTGGCTGGGGCTGAAGAAGTAAACACGAAATCGAAAATGCAACATCTCATTTCTGCAGATAAATGACTAATAAAAGAAAAAATGTGAACCATATAGCAGTGACCCCTAATTGGGGATAAAGTGAAAATTAGTGGCTAAGTGACACTAATAGAATCTTTGTATGTAGTGAACCGTTTATAAGCCTATAAACATAAAGAACAGGAAAGACAAATAAACAGCTTAACGTGACTCCAAATGCGGGAATAAAAATTGGAAATAAGTGATATATACGTGATTCCGTGACACAAAAAAAAAAAAATCATATAAAATTATATCCAATTTGTAGAGTGAATCTTACCCAAAATAAACTTCAAAGTCCAAAACCACCTAAATAGTGGAGGTGTTTTGTAGTCCTTAGTGGATATACGTATATGAACTGTTAGACATAGGGAATTCCGCACTGAGTGAAATGCCCCCTCACCTCCATGAAGCGACCCAACAGGGTCAAAGCGTTTTTTCAAATAGTACCGCACCGTTCTGGAACCTGGATCCCTTCCCATAGGCACAAGGTCCAATGCAGAGTCAATCCCCCTCACTGGTGGAAAAAGGCACTGCAAGCAGCCTCCGCAGAGATATCCGGGAAATAGCCAATCCTCATACAGCCAGAGAAAGAAAGGAAGATGCTCCCATAGTGTAATAATGTTTTATTATTAAATACTAAGGTAATACAAGTCCCACTCACATGTAACTGGCTTTACATAGTTGATTTTTGACCTAGCGCGGATTTGATTTTTAAATAAGGCTAGTTCCAATTACAGACAAAACTAGTTGAGGCAGTGTTCCCCAGCTGATACGTTGTATCCCATCCATGGAGTGCAAGCCAATGTCTGCTTTCAGGGCGGGGGAAGCCATCTTAACTGTACGTGCTGTATGTATCTGGTGCCGGTCCTTAGGCACATATACAGGGGAAACTCAAAAAGTTGCATAAGTTCATTTATTTCAGTAATCCAACGTAAAAGGTGAAGCTAATATATGAGATAGACTCATTACATGCAAAGCAAGATAGTTCAAGCCATGATTTGTCATAATTGTGATTATTATGGCTTACAGCTCATGAAAACCCCTAATCCACAATCTCAGAAAATTAGAATATTGTGAAAAGGTGCACTATTCTAGGCTAAAGTGTCCCACTGTAATCAGCTAATTAAGCCATAACACCTGCAAAGGGTTCCTGAGCCTTTAAATGGTCTTTCAGTCTGGTTCAGTAGGAATCGCAATCATGGGAAAAACTGCTGACCTGACAGTTGTGCAGAAAACCATCATTGACACCCTCCATAAGGAGGGAATGCCTCAAAAGGTAATTGTAAAAGAAGTTGGATGTTCCCAAAGTGCTTTATCAAAGCATATTAATAGAAAGTTGTGTGGAAGAGAGAGGTGCACAAGCAGCAGGGATGACCGCAGCCTGGAGAGGATTGTCAGGAAAAGGCCATTCAAAAGTGTTGGGGACTTTCACAAGGAGTGGACTGAGGCTGGAGTCAGTGCATCAAGAGCCACCACACACAGACGGATCCTGGACATGGGTTTCAAATGTCGTATTCCTCTTGTCAAGCCGCTCCTGAACAACAAACATTGTCAGAAGCGTCTTACCTGGGCTAAAGAAAAACAGACCTGGTCTGTTGCTCAGTGGTCCAAAGTCCTCTTTTCTGATGAGAGCAACTTTTGCATCTCATTTGGAAACCAAGGACCCAGAGTATGGAGGAAGAATGGAGAGGCACACACTGCAAGATGCATGAAGTCCAGTGTGAAGTTTCCACAGTCTGTGTTGATTTGGGGAGCCATGTCTGCTGGTGTTGGTCCACTGTGCTTCATTAAGTCCAGGGTCAACGCAGCCGTCTACCAGGAGATTTTGGAGCACTTCATGCTTCCTTCCGCAGACTTGGCACCTGCCCACACTGCCAAAAGCACCAAAACTTGGTTCAATGACTGTGGGATTACTGTGCTTGATTGGCCAGCAAACTCGCCTGACCTGAACCCCATAGAGAATGTATGGGGCATTGCCAAGAGAAAGATGAGAGACATGAGACCGAACAATGTAGAAGAGCTGAAGGCCGCTATTGAAGCATCCTGGTCTTCCATAACACCTCAGCAGTGCCACAGGCTGATAACTTCCATGACACGCCGCATTGAGGCAATAATTGCTGCAAAAGGGGCCCAAACCAAGTACTGAGTACATATGCATGCTTATACTTTTCAGAGGTCTGATCTTGTTCTATGTACAATCCTTGTTTTATTGATTGCATGTAATATTCTAATTTTCTGAGATTGTGGATTTGGGGTTTTTCATGAGCTGTAAGCCATAATCATCACAATTATGACAAATCATGGCTTGAACTATCTTGCTTTGCATTTAATGAGTCTATCTCATATATTAGTTTCACCTTTTAAGTTGCATTATTGAAATAAATTAACTTTTGCACGATTTTCTAATTTTTCGAGTTTCACCTGTATATGAGTGTGGTGTAATTGTAAGATTTTATATGGTTTAATAAAATTGTCTGCTTTGCACAATGAACCTTTTCTCCAATACTGTTTTTTGAGTGGCGGTGTATTGCATTGTAAGGAATTGCGTCCTGGTACATGTAAATGGCCAAGTTGGTGACAAGTTAAACAGTGGGTGCAACCAAAAAGCACAGTGAGACCTATCTTGTAATAGAAGGTCTATCCATTGTGGTGAGTGTACATCCATGTGGGGTCACTTGGAGCACCTGGAAGTGGTCACATGTTTTATCTGTTACTAACGGCACCAGGACCTGTTCAGCTACCTTTTTATGTTTTTCAAGCAACTATTATTTGAATGGAACTTATTGATACATTGGACATAAGTTTAATTTTCTGGTGTTGTTCATTTATTTATTTTGTGCACTTTCAAATGCGGCAAACTTTTTAATAATCTTGATTCACGTTTTTGGCAGTGCTGTCTATATACACTTATATAGGGTTCAATAATGTGAAAGTCAGACACATTCTGAAGACTGCAGCGTATAATCACATTCATTTGTGTTTCCTTGTTTTTTTTTTTTATTTTGTCTGTGGCACAGCATTATTATTTATATTCAGTCTGGTCTATCTTTTATTGTTTTAGGCCTGGCTCACACTAATGCATTTTTAGAGCCGACTTGAGTCGCATGAAAAGGGAAATCACATTGTTATCAATGGTGTCCATTCACATCAATGCAACTCAGCATGGAGCAATTTTGGAAAAAGGTTCCTGTACTACTTTGGTGTGATTTATAGTGTGATTTTGGCCCCATAGAATACACAAACCTTATCATAACTGCATCCAAGTAGCACTGCATAATCGCACTGATGGATCAAAATTGTATCACAGCAGTGTGAATCTAGCCTTATACTAGTGGTGCACCGAAATGAAAATTCTGGTGCCAAAATGTGGTATGTGAGGGTGGGGAGGCTCCAATTTTCTTTTTTGTATTCTTGTTTACTTTAGTGTGTGTGTGTGTGTGTGTGTGTGTGTGTGTGTGTGTGTGTGTGGTGTGTGTGTGTGTGTGTGTGTGTGTGTGTGTGTGTGTGTGTGTGTGTGTGTGTGTGTGTGTGTAGGTGTGTGTGTGTGTATGTAGGTATGTATAGTGTGTGTGTGTGTGTGTATGTAGGTATGTATATTTTTTTGTGTGTGTGTATATATTATGATTTTTTTAACTTATTGATTTTAGTCCCCTATGTGATAGCATATGAGACTCCTCTTTGTAAGGGGTAGGGGAAGTGTGTGCAAGGAGGGGGAAGGAGAGGAGCAGTGTATACAGAGAGGCTCCCTCACTGGCTGTCACTATATGTCGGTGCCGATTAATGCAATTGACAGCTTTTTTTTTTTTTTTTGCTTTTTTTCACTCTAGCTCACAGAATTCGCTGTCATTTTCCCTGGAGCTGATTTTTGTTTCTTTTATCTCGGTAAAGAAACTAAAAGGAAACGTTGTTTTTTTAGCTGGGGGGGAAAGTGACAGCTAATTCTGTGAGCTATAATGAAGAAAAAAAAAAAAGCTGGTAAGTACATTTAAAAAACTGGCACTGACATATAGTGACAGGCAGTCACTGTATACACTGCTTGTCTCCTGCCTTTCTCAGCTGTCAACCCCCCTCCCCATCTGCTGCACACACAGTCTGCTGTATTGGCTAAATTTTTCCTATCAGCTAGATGCCGATATGTTTTTCGGTGGCTATTTTCGGCCGATATGTTTCGGTGGCTGAAATTTCAGTGCATCCCTACCTTATACTGTTATTGTAATTATGACTTTTATGTTAAATTTGTGTTTCTGTCTTTCCAATAGCTTCCTCAGTGTTTGTGCATCCATCTGCAGCGTCTGAGCTGGTCTAATCAGGGTAGCCCACTGAAACGCAATGAACATGTCCAGTTTAGTGAGTTTCTGGCTTTGGACAGATATAAGTATCGGCTTGCTGGAAATTCCCTCTCTCAGCATCAAAGCAGTACTTGCAGCAGAACAATTCCACAAACAACAGATGGATCAGCAGGTACTTATGATATCAGAAGATTAAGAAATCTACCTCAGAATTCCTTCCATTCTTCCTTAATGTAAGGATATTCCTGCTAAGTCAATAGCTTACCACTTAGCAGGCCATTCTTTTTAAATGTTTGCATAATGTGATTGGGTAAAGTAAACATAAACAGCAAGTCTTTTTTGTTTGTTGCTTATTAGCAAATGATCTGGCAATCGGGAAAACCAGTTTGATATACACATATACCGAAATAGTGAGCCAGAATAGGTTAGACGTTTTCAAAGTGGTCTGTTGACTTTTTTTCTCTACTGTTCATCTTCAACAGATGTTGCTATTAAGCCATGCACTTGTAGTACAATGTTAAATGTAAAAATGTTAAAAGTCTTGTAAAAGACTGGAAATCCCTTCACATTGCCACCTTGGTGGGACTGAATTGATACCATAGATAGCTCTGAAAGGAGATCTTGGCAACTCTAAAATCAAGTGGAGGGTAATGGATTACCCCCACAGTAGTAATAATTTGCTTGGTTATTGGCGTTATGGTGTAATATTTGCAGATGTTAGAATGCAATGTGGGGTAAGTCTTGTAGCACATTTTTTTTTAAGTTGTAAAATATATTTAATTTGTACACTAGCATTCATCACATATATTTGTCATCAACCTTGGTTTGAAATTAATTCAATTTATGGAATTTTATCTAGTTTCTGATGGTCTTCATAAGATTCATTTATTGAATGGAGCGTATTCTACTTCTCTATTGTCATCTCCGTACACAAACTCAAAGTCTCCTCCAGCAGACTGCACGTGAGTATCTTTGAAATAAGTTTTAAGGAAACCTTTGCTGAGAGAAATATGGGGACTGCCACTTCCAACCTATCCCCCTTAAATAACTAGCATGAATGCTTCGATATTGTTCTTGCAATTGGTTATTTCTTTTGTTCTTCTAGAAGAGAGATGTTTTTCTTTACCGTTCATCATGGACACAGAGCATGTTTGGCAATCCTTATGAACAGGGCTATGCTCCCCCTACAGGTGACATTCATTGCCAGAATTGACCATATTCTCAATGGTTTCAAATTGAATCAGGACACTTGTTCTATCCAAAACCATTCCTACATCTATAATCATTCAATTGAAATGGTACCCAGACCACGTACAGGATGACGAATGGGTCTGATGCTGGGGTGGCCTGTTGCCGGTCGGCACTGGACTCTGTGTTTACAGAACCTTGCCAAGGTGGTTATTGATAGTGTGCTACACAGTTCCAGGGCAGTGAACTGTAGGCGGAGCATTGAGTCCCTGAAGGCCCTCTGGGCAAAGCCCACTGTGGTGGGTTGAAGATTGGATCCCCCTTCCATGGAGAGGCTGGAGTAGTGAGTGCCCCTGGGTCAAACCCTCCCACCCCCCACCTACTGTGGCAATTTATTTTTCTGCTCTCTGCTGTAATAATAGCCAAGGCAGCCTGTGAAAGGTACACTGTACTGGTGTGCTGAAGGGGTGGCCCAGACGGAAGACTTTGGCACCAGCTGTGAGGCAGAATTGTTCTCTGTCCTCCGCACAGCTTGAGGCCACCTGCAACGCACGTGTGCAGCTTGGATGGATGATGTTACAAGTGGAGGCAGAGCTCTCTGGCAGTGGTCACTTTCCCCTTGTAGCTATCTTGGAAGCAAACAGACGGGCAGTAGCACTGGTGGCAGTGAACTTGTGAAGTAACACGAGTAGGCTAATCTTCATCTGCTGTTGGGAGCTCTCCTTCACAAATCGTGGGTCACGCGAGCACACCTTGGGGCGGTGGGAGATATCTCTTAGGGTAATCGGCGCACTTGTACAGTAGTGTAGTGCAGTGCCCTCTTGGCTGACTAGGGATAGCTATACTTAGCGCAGACAATCCCCATTGTCTAGAATCAGCAGGCCATATGTCTCACAAATGACAAAGAAAGGGATGGGGGCCCCAGACACCTCTGTCGGGTAGAGAAGAACTTAGACCTAGCTTTCCAGGTACTTTTTGTGTGGGGGTTTATGTGTGCCCTGCGGATCTGACTCCTTCCTTTATTGGGTACTTCCACTACCTCCGTGGCACCTTGCTCCAGTTTCTACGTAACAAAGGAGGATATGTTGTCTGTGATTTGCCTTTGTCTTGGGAAAAATTGTTGGAGATTTTCTGGTGGTGTGGAGCAAGAGGACACAGTTGTTAGACTCTCCAATGTCCTTACACCCCAGCACTCTTCGATCGCAGTTGTCTCTAGGGGAGTGGACTCTTCACCCGGAGGTGTTCAAGGAGTAAAGTCGATGGTGGGGCATAAAATGTAAAAAACCTCAGCGAGCGCTTATTTAAGAAAGCAGCTGTGCACTAAAAAGGAACCATAAAACCTTCCAAAAGACACGTAAAATATTTCTACAGCGCTAAAAATATATAAATTGTGCGTAAAATGATAATAATGTCCTGATGCATGTAAGAAAAACGATAACTCAACTCTATATATGAATTAATTCCACATGTATATTATTCCAGTCCACATGTAAAAAAATATATATAGCCAAGGCCCAGGTGACTTGATTAACCCAGTTATATATAATTCAAAAAGGTCCAGTGAGGAGCAGGAAACAGATAAAATGCGCACTCACCAGATGCGCAAAGATATTGCGCAGAGTATAATATTAAGTGGAGGTCTGCCAGGAATCCCTCTTAGGGTGGTAATAGATGCAGCCCAGGAAAGGTGGATCTCGTCAAGGTTATAGGATGGTGTTGAAACCAGAGGTCCCCTTTAAAGATGTGGGTACAGCCTCTTCCAGGCACTGGGATGGTCACCAGGGGGAGTTCTTGGGGATTTAAGTGCTCAATGCAGAGCAGAAAGGGAAATGCCCATAGTGTAGTATTTCTGAATATGTTTTATTGAAGGAATATCAATATCAAGAAGTAAATCCAATATAGTCATGCATATGTATAAAATCAGAAAATCCTCATAGGTAATTGCATGCAGCATAAAGCTGCTGAAAGCACTGACCAGCTGGGTTTTCCTATCCTGTCTTTGTCCTTTTGTAATGTGCTCAGGACCTGGATCTGTCCTCACTATACAGCGCACCTCTCTGGGAATGGATGTTGTGGTATGCCCCACTCAGCTACATACAAGCTCAGCCACTGCACATTGCACCAACGCGTCAAGGAAGAAATGGCGCAACATTTTGTGGACTGATGAAAGTAAGATTGTTCTTTTTGGGTCTAGTGGCCAGAGACAGTCTGTCAGACGACCCCCAAACACTGAATTCAAGCCACAGTACACTGTGAAGACAGTGAAGCATGGTTGGGCAAGCATCATGATATGGGGATGTTTCTCATACTACAGTGTTGGGCCTATTTCTCGCATACCAGGGATCATGGATCAGTTTGAATACATCAGAATACTTGAAGAGGTCATGCTGCCTTATGCTGAAGAGGAAATGCCCTTGAAATGGGTGTTCCAACAAGACAACGACCCCAAACACACCAGTAAACGTGCAACATCTTGGTTCCAGACCAACAAGATTGACGTTATGGAGTGGCCAGCCCAATCCCGGGATCTTAATCCAATAGAAAACTTGTGGGGTGACATCAAAAATGCAGTTTCTGAGGCAAAACCAAGAAATAGAGAAGAACTGTGGAATGTAGTCCAATCATCCTGGGCTGGAATACCTGTTCACAGGAGCCAGAAGTTGGTTGACTCCATGCAACACCGCAGTTCTCAGAAACAGTGGTTATACAACTGAATATTAATTAAGTGATTCAAAGGAAAGCAAAATCTTCAAACATTTTTCAGTTTATATAGTGAATGTTTGAGTTTGTAAAGAAGAATACAAACACTGCTATTTTTTTGAACAGTCTAATATTCACTTTTCTTAAATTTTTTTTTTAGAGGAACAACACAAATTTGATATATTTTTCTTCATGTTTTGATTTGGAATAGAATGTGTAGTTTTTCCCAATGCATTTGTGTGTATGGAAATGAAAGCTATTAGAAGGATGTTGAGCTTTATTCACTTTTTTCAACACACTGCTATTATTTTGAACGAATTGCAACATCATGAACGTGTCTGGACAGTCCTTGGTCCCTTTCAGGTTGTTCGAACCTTCTGTTGCAAAGTCCAATCTTCCATCCTTCTTTACAGTCGCTGGCATTAATGGCATGTCCTGAGAGACAGAGAAATCTCTTTTTCTGTTGTTCCTGCTTTTTTAAAATCCATTAAGGCTATTTTGAGGAAGATTTACCACAGGACCTGAAAATCTTATATTGCTTGGAGTGAAACTAAAAAAAAAACATCATCCTCACAAGTGTTGAGGATGAAGTTCCTAACAAGGTCTGTATTTTGGCTTTTTACCAAACAGGTTGACTTGTGGCTCTCCTTGAGTATTATCAAAGGTCAGATTTTGGCCCCGGCTGTCTTTCTTCAGAGGCTGATTGCTATTAATTTCTTGATGCGTGCCTTTGTACAGGGTGTCACGCATATTGCCCCTCCAGGCAGACCGCCTGTGACCATGGGATCTCAAATTGGTAATTTCTGCTTTACAGAGACCTTCCCTTGGTTCTTTTGATGAGGAAAGTGCTTTTTCTGGTTGCCATTACTTTTGGTTCAAAGTGTTGCAGAACTGACCCCCTTTCCTGTGAGGAGCCATTTCTGGTAGACTGCCATGACAAGGTGATTCTTCAACCTTATCCATCTTTTTTGCCTAAGGTGGTTTTAGCCCTCTCTAAGTCAGTACATTGTCTTACCTTCCTTTTTGTCCTAAGCCTCAGTCACTGGGGGGGGGGGGGGGGGGGGCACGGCAGTGGATGTGGTTTGTGCTATGGTATTTGACAGTCGATTTGACAATCAGAGTCTCTCTTTGTACTACCTGAGGGACCAAAACAAGGCTACACGGCTAACTAAGTCAACCATGCAGTATACCTTTTCACTATTGCACTGATCGAACATAGGCCCCGGTGAAATAAAGTTAGACTCAACATCTGTTGGCTCTGTCACTTTGCTTTATTTTTAACAGCTTGTTGATATAGCACCATCCATAGGTCACAATACCAACTAAGTCCTTATTGTTGTTCATACCTTTTGAGAGGTTCCAACTAATTACTTTGTTACCCAATGTTCCTTTGTTCATTATTTACTGTTTCCCCATTATGGAGACTATTATTCTGCTACCTCAATAAAAAGATTGTAATATAAAAGGAAGGTTCGGCTGGTGACGACTAATTCTACCAGGAGTGTTGGTGCTTCCTTGACTGTTTCCAAGCTTCAGCTGCTCAAGCCACTACCTGGTGTTCAGTTCATAGCTTTACAAAATTTACCAGGTGGATGTTTCAGCCACTGAGGATGCTACAAATTTCTGCTCTGAGCCCCGTGATGTACAATAAAGAAATTTTTATTTTTGTCTTGCCTGTAAAATCTATTTTTTGGACTACACCATGGGACACAGAGATCCCTCCCTTCTGTATTGTTGTGTATGGCTTGCTAAATAATTGAAGCCCTTCCTATGGGGGAGGGGTTATGCCTAAAAGGGGACTTCTGTCTTTTTTGCTAGTGTTCAGTCATCTATAGATGATGCATAACCCTGTTTGTAAGGATTACTAAAGCTGCTCTGTGTCCTATGATGTACTCCCAAGAAATGGATTTTACAGGTAAGCTAAAAATCCCATTCTTCATAGGTATACTAAACACTGGAGTTCTCTTATATTGGAGGACACATATCGATATCCGCTCACTGTTATACTATGCTTTGCTACATACACTGCAGCCCACCACCATTCATATACAGTGCCTTGAAAAAGTATTCATAC